ACTTCCATTGGTGCTGGTGTTTGCGTTCCCGCTGCGATGTATGTGTCAGGAAATTTGTTCCTGGTGACTCTGAGAAGGAACCAGTGACGTGCATGTAGGGCGAAATCCCCCAAAAGCGGAGGTGCATTAGCCCCGTGCCACCGTGCAACTGCCTGTTGGGTGATGTATCCGATTGGTGCTGAGTGTTTTCCTTCCTGCAGCTCCCCATATTGCTGGACGGCCAGTGTTGGTAGCTGGATGCCAAGTCTGTTGTAGATGTTGAAGACGAGCTGGTGCCCGCACATGCCAGCTGGGTGGTATTGCTGCATGGTGTGCGCGACAAAATTGGCCTCATTGTAGCCAAGCTCAGTGCGAAGCTGCTGGATGAGTGGCTGCAGAGCTTCAAAAGAAGCGGCAGGTGCCGTGATGTAGAGTGTGGCTTGATGCTGCATCTTGTAGCACTCTGCTTGAAACCAATGTTGTTCAGTCTCGATGATCCACAGGATATGTCTGTACGGCTCGTACACTGGCGTGGGTGCTGCAAGGAAATGGAGAGTCTCAATGTTTGAGATCCATGTTGCTGGTGGGCAAAAGAGTGTGTCCGGTATCAGAGATCTCGGCCCCTCGAGGATGAAGTCAATCTCGTCAGAGTGCATCCACGAGACATTGAGCTGTATGTGCAGAAGCCTTGTGTTGATCCGCAGTTGGATCTGGTCTTCATCTGGTGTGTCCTGGTGAGGGACTTGTATCGGTGGCCTGTAGCCTGGAGGGTATGCTGTGTGCAGGGTTCGCTGGTTTGCAATTTGGCCACTGTTCAAAGTTCTCCTCGAAAGGGCAAGGAAGAAATTTCTGCGGAGTCGAAAGGCAAACTGGGCAAGGCCATCTTGCGCTCCAGCCTCATTCCAGTCTTCAACTGCTGATTGCAGCACAATGTCGATCATGTCCCGGTAGTTTTCGGACATGGGGTTGTGTGTGTCCGTGGTCGCCAGGGTGTTCTGCACTTGGTGATCACCTGCCCATCTGTAGACGAGTTCCCAGCCACAGAGATGTGGGGTCCAGTTGGAGCTGTGGTGAATGATCGTCATTCGATGTGGCGCAATGTCCAGGAATCTGGCGAGGATCATAATGATCCTGGTGTGCAAATGCTGTGGTACCTGGACGGTGACGACCGTGATGTTGTGCGTCTGTCCTGTGGATTTGATCACCTCGAGGGCACACCAGTGATCCCCCGCCAAGATGGGGACATAGGTGGTGCCATGATCTTGTATGGCCATGGGTCCAAAGGGTGACTCCTCAAACTCAGATTGGGTGATGTCCCAATAGACTGGTGGTGAGTACTGCGGCCCGGCCGTAGTGGACCATTGCAGGAGCTGAGTGACATACGCCATTTCAGCAGCAGCCATCCATCCGTGAGTGTTGGTGGCAAACTCTGCTCGCTGTGTGAAAGTGGCATGTGCAGGGAGTGTTGGAGGGTTGCCATGCCTGAGATGGTGCCCTCCTGCTTTGATGCTGCAAGGTGCCGTGTGTAGCAGCATGCCATGGTTGAGTGGCTGCAAGGGCGGAGTCGTACATTGCCCAGCAATCTGTGTGATGTTGTGTATGGCCCCACCAACCACAAACACAGTGGATGCATCCTGTGAAGGACCCATCTTGCATGCCCAAAGACAGGGACTGTTGGCCGTCATGATAAACAGGGTGTTTTGAGCCAGAGCATCAGCAACAATGGTCCGAGGTGTGACCGAAAGCACAAGGACGTCATCAGAAAGTCCAGGCTGCCCACAGAAATCAGTGCTGACAGACGCCAAACTCTGGATAGCAGCACACAGGAGGTTTCGCCGGTAGGGGTCAGCAGTGCACGCCAAGGAGATACCCAAGTCAGGGATACAGAGAACGAAATTCCACTGGTACGGGGACCACATAAGTGAGAGCTGCTCAAAAGCGGACCAAATGCCCAAATCCAAAAGGGCCTTGATGGTTGTGTCAAAGTCGGCCTGCAGAACAGCAACGAAAACAGTTGGTGGTTTCGGTGGTTCCTGAAGCTCCAAAGTCGGCGAAATCCAAACCTGCTCCTTTTGGCTCTGGAAGTCAAGCTCACCACAAGTGATGCCCTGGATCACAAGAGTCCATTTGTCCTGAATGTTGCGGGCTTCACGAGCTGTGCGCGACAGATGCATGGTCTGAGTGGCACCGACCAACATGAAGGCGTAGAGGATCTCTTTAGGGCCTTGGATGGCGCCCCGCAGGAGTCGACCGATCGAAAGGTCAAGCGAGCCATGCAAAAGCACTTTGTGGTCAAGCCCCTTCACATGCACAATGGCAACAACATCAGTGTCATGGCTATGCTGTGTGGCAATGCTCAAAAGTCTGGCAACATTTGAGACTCTGATGACATGGACATGATTTGCAAATTGGCACACAATAGCGTTGGATGCAGTGAGTCTATCATTCCAACAACTTTGCAAGAGTGCATGAACATCGATCTTGTCAGGCAGGGTGGACAGTAGACCGATCAGGACAGGTAGGAGTGCGCGTGGCACGGCGATTGCGTTCCCGAGTCCTCGAAACGCTTCCTGGATTTTGGCCGACAGGATGCAATCATCCGTGGCTCCCATGAGGGACACGAACCTGGCCGGGTCGAAGAATGCAAAACCAGCTGGGGTCATGCACAAAAAGGCAAAAGCTCCCTTGTTTTGCAGGTGGCGACTGTCAAGTTCATGTTGTGCAGAATATGAAGCACACAGCGTGGGCAGTGGCTCACTCTCCTTTGGCATGCGGGCACATAACACCTGATAGGCCGTGGCTGAGCTCGAACTCAGTGCACCTTTCTTGGCAGGTGGCAGGAAGCGCACATCACCGTAAAATGACTTTTCCGACTCGGAGAGGAGAAGCTGTTCAGCCCAGATGGGCGGGATCTGAAAGTCAAAATCAGGATCGAACCACCTGTGGCGCGGCAGGACATGTGGGTTGACTTTGGCATCGTAGTACTTAGCACTAATGTCAACACGGATCCACGTGGCTAACCACCTCGTCCTCATCATAGGCGAGATGTGGTGAAGCGGCGTGACTTGTGACCACACCAAACGATAACCAAGCAACTTCGCCACATGCTGGAGCGTCTCAAAATGGTGGTGGTGGATGATTTCATCCGCACACTCAGCGGTGACTATACATGCCTGCAGCTTAAATGCGTGCGTCAGCCCACTGATGAAGGCCCAGCCATTCTCGCAAGACAGTCCTTGTCTCTTTCCAGCTTTCGACCATGGCTGGCAGGGCGGACTCATAGTCTCCAGCAAATTCACTTGTCCTTGGCACACCGTCAAAATGCTATTTTCCGCAATCGATGACAGGATGCCCACAAAGTCAGCGGAGATCCATGGTTGTGAATATGGTAGCGGAGCCGAGAGGGCCTTCACAGCATGCTGGCATTCCCACAGGTGCATGACATCCTCGTTCGAGTCAACTGCAACGTGGCGGCTAAACAAAGCAGTCCCCCCATGTTGCGAAAGCCACTTCGTGGCCTGTTCCCAGCCCCCAAAGGAGCCTGCGAAGGCATGCACAGCTGTCCAAGAGAGCTCTGGCAGAAAATCCGGGCGGTGAATGATCACAGCCGACTCATGGAAAGTGATCTCATCATCATTAGCTTTGTTCTGACATGGCCCTGCTACAATGACTCGAGCACCCGGGCAAATGGCTGTAGACCGGTCACGGATGTGAGGGAGGCTCACCAAACACTCCTGACAGTCATTGGTGTCAAAACTGAAACCCACATTTGGCACAAAAAGCGCCAAGTGTAGGCGGAGTCGATCAGATTCAACCTCAAGGATTTCACCTGCAATGATCGAGCAGTTCTCCAGCATCAAGCAATGCGTAGGGGACGCAAGCGCTTTGAGAAATGTCGTCAATCGGCAGGCGAAAGGCTCATCCAAACCATGGGGAGCAGAGAAAACATCCATGGCTCACAGGAGACCCTAGGAATCTACCGAAACTAAAGGTCCACAGAAATGGCGTGGGGTCTCTGGAACCACCACTTGTGGACACCACGCTCACGGCGGAGAGCCGCGACACGTGGCCACGGGAGGCCTGTCCTCCACCAGCTCCTAAGCTTTGGGCCAGGGGAGCTGTACTATTCCATACTATTCCATGGATTGTAGCAAGGGTGACATGTCCTTGATTTCGGGGTGCATCGTCGAACTGGACTTCGATATGACGACCATGCATGGATTTGACGACGAGTGCGGGCCTGAAGGGCCAGGGCCAGGGCTGTTTCTTCGTTTCGAGTGTCATCCGATTCTGGCTGTCTATACCCAGACCATACGAATGGGACTGGAATAGTGACACACATTTATACCCAATGAACATGATCCAATGTAGACTCTTGAGGACCATACACCACCCCATTTGAATTGAACATCCTGGTTATTAATCAAGAGTCTACATGAAGTATATTCCAGACATGCTCTGCGACACGTCAGTTGACATGAGTTTCGTGGCAGCCTTCAAGGCCATTCCTCGGCCGGTCTCGGAACCTGAGTCGCAGGTCTCCGAATTAAACAGCATTTTGTGGTACTTGGGACAGGCCCCGTCGAACGCATTTTTTCGAGCAGTTGGCGCAAGGTAGAGCTCTATTATGGAGTGAACACTTCAAAGACATCTCAGTGATTGAGTCAGAGACCAACTCACCCAAGCAGCTCCAGCTCCAGCTCCAGTGTGTCAAGATGATCCAACATCACCCTTCTTCCAATGACAGGCAGACAACATGTTTGAGGGAGTCAAATTGGATGTGGACATGAGGAAGACTAGAAACCCTACAAGAATTGCGAGGGCAATTGATTTCACGGGATTAGCTTTGGATCATGGCTCACACACACAAACTCCAAATATGCTATCTACTTGGCAACTTCGTTTTTGAGACACTTGCAGCAACTACCTCATGACATCGTATCTACCGGACCTCTGTCTAACGTCAGTCTACCAGACACCAAACACGCACGTGGCACGCGGCCACGCGCACGCGGCACGAGGCCAGTGTAGCGAGCTCCAGATCTATGGGTTCCAGGCTGGTCCTAGAGCATCGGACGAAAAAGAGGGATGTCCAGACTTCTTCTTCTTCTTCTTCTCCTTCTTCTCCTTCTTCTAGCATGTGAAAGACCATTGTGACTAGGAAGATTCGGGACATCTGACTCGTGACTCGGAAGCCGCGGACATGGAGTCGGCCCGGAACTCGTAGCTCGGAAAATGGGCACCAGATCATGTCCAGTTAGGTAGCTAAGGGGTATGCAGCTAAGGGGTAGGCAGCCATGGTATCATCCCAATTATATCCAAGTATTTGCTAAGGTACTTGAAGTCGGGGTTAGGTAGCTGTTGGGGGTTGGGGTTGGAAAAAAGCGCTGATCGAAGCCTGGTTTTCATGTCGACTTCGTCCAGACAAGGCGCTGGCCGCTATGGCGCAGCTATGGCCTACCCAGGAAAAGTGGTCCTTTGAAACGCTGTTTGTGGGATTGGTTTCATTTCCCCATTCAAAACCAACCTGGGTCATCCTGTCTGGGTTTCCAGTCTAGACTACACTGGACCTCCAGCGACACCGTCAGATGGAGGAGGTGGAAAGTTCGGTTCACCTTTATTTGGAATGGACACTAAGCGGGTCCAGGCTGGGAGTTCCTGCATTTTCGCGGCAGCTCTCCCACCGAAGAGAACTGGCATCCCCTCACTCTACAGCAGAGCAGCCGTGAAGCCGTTGTTCTTGGCCAGGTGTTGTAGATAAGAACCAGGAAGCTGTTAAGAGACATGTCACACCTGAAGCCCCCCCAGACATCCAGCAATACGTACATGCCCAGGTGCCCAGACCATCCCATGGTACATGCAGTATGGAATAGTTCCATATACCCTAGGATTCCAACAGCCAGTGATTTAATGAACTGTGTTAGTAGAGATTTTACACTACAAAACAAGGTGCACCATGAAACAATTCATTTGATCATAAAAGGCTAGGCCAGGGTCAAAGAATGTACTTCATTTCTGATCCCAATGCAGGTAACTCTTTCATAGATGGATGAACTGGGGTGAGAAAGACTCCGAACTTCCTTCCCTTTGAACGCGCCCCAAGTCACACGCCCCTCCTGGAACCCGCCCCTCCTGGAACCCGACTCGGTCAGATCGTGCACCTCGACCGTCTCGGTGAACAGCGAGTTCATTCAGGAGTGGAACGGAGCGGAACCGGGTGGGTGGGGAAGGCCCAACGGCGAAGGCCGAACCGCTCACCGCTAACCGGTCGAAGCACAGCTTCTTTTCGTCTTTGAGAGGGTGATGTGTTGGATGTTCGGCGGCCTTCGGTCGGCGGCGGTGGGTGCAGGTCGTGAAAACGTCATGTTCCTGGACTCTTCGGGTTTGGGGGAAACAAGCAGGGGGTCTCCCTTCAGCTGCCGAGAGTTGACCATGGTTGACCATGGCTGACAGGAACATGAGGAGCAACCACCTGGACCCGACGGACCGTTCGTACCATGACCCGAAGCCTGGGACGGTCTGACCCGAACCCAAAAAACAGCTACGACGCCTGGGGCCCCATGTCGTTCCGAGACACGAACCGGGTCGCTTTCTTGGCATCTCCAGCAGAGGTTGAAGAACCCGAACTAGGCCATCCTAGTTCGGTACCCCAAGTGACGGGTCCTAGTTCAGGCCACTTAACCTCTGTTGGATGATATGAGGGCATTCTTTTCAAGCTGAGGAGCGACCACTTTCGACAATCGTGGGTCGGAGATCTTCGTCGCCTCACCCACCTGGGTCGACGCGTGGGTCGGGTGTCCCAAAGGGAGCTATACAGCCAGGATCACCCAGACGAGATGATGGAATGTTCATGGAAGGTTCCATTAGATTTCGGTGCTTGCAGAGTTTTCTCAGACTTCTCTCCCAAACCTGGTGGCGGATTTGACTTGTATCCCGAATCCAGCTGCTGGCTGAGCAATGGACAACGACGGGCGCCCTCCCCCACCACCACAGGAGCGGCTGCCGGGCAGGTGGGGCGGGCTGCAGTGCCGCCGTGCATCGCCGTGCTGTGCGGACGTAGACAGAAAGAAACACGAAGAGGTGCGTCATCTCGAATTTCATCGGCTGTTCTCGGCGGCATTCTTGGCTACCAGGATTTGAACACTGGTCAACGGCATTCGGTGAAACGAACTTCAATGGTCAAACGGCGTGGTCGGTGAAACGGCGTGGTCGGTGGAGCCGGTGGGTTCATGCTGGGCTGCCGTGGGCTCGTGCCTTCACTGGGTCGCCTCGGTCGAAACCGTCCGTGTTGGAGTCTGGGAACTCCACCAGCCTCTAGGAACTTGGAGATGTGAGTGTTGGAGTCGCTCCGGGCGCAGGCTCCGGCAACCTCCGGGCCCGGCCCAGACCTCCGAAAAGCTGAGGATCTGGGCACGCACGCAGCGAATTTCGCATCCACCCACCCCAAGCTCCGAAGCTGAGGATGTGGGCCAGGAGCCCTATAGGGTATGTTCCTTTCAACCACAAACTCACAGGTAGTCTCTCTTTTCGAACGACAAACCATCCTGTCGGAAAGAGAAGTTGCAATACTGAACTCAAAGACCTTCCAGCCTGCCTCAACTCTAATGCTGTGAAGAAGGTAGTTTCATGCCAGTGGAAGATGTTCCCTGATATCCTTGATCTCTAGCATCCAGCTACCTCCAATGTCTGGAATAATGTCTAACATGGTCGCAGTGGTTTGCGTTTGATGGATGGACGTTTACTCATCCCTTGCCAGGCAGAGAGAGACTGCCAAGATCCAGAGTGAGCTGAAGGCTTTGGGCTTTAAGAGCTGTGCTGTGTCACTGCGTGGCCAAATGAGCAACCACATGCAACCACATGCAACGTGCAATGACTACAGTCATTTCTAAATATGGTTGTGAATTTCAGGATTTGGGTTAAACCTGCAAAAGTGATAGGCCCCCTTCAAAAGCGATAACCACATTTCCGCAGTTTTTGGACAGATTCAGCTATCTTGACATTGTGGCCAACAAATTGTAGCTAAAACCTGCAAAGGCGATAGGCCCCAGGCCCCCCTCGAAAGCGTTAACCATATTTCCACAGTGTTTGGACAGATCCAGCTATCTTGACATTGTGGCTGAAACCTGCAAAAGCGATAGGCCCTTCTCAAAAGCGATAACCTTGCTGAATCATGTCCTCTGCTTGCCAGTGCATTTTGCTAGACACGTCCAGGCGAAGAGACCCGTTGTGTATAGCATCGAAGGGCAGAACAGCTTGAGAAGTCTAAATCCGTCTTCAAGCAAATTAATGAAGTACTTGTAGTGCCTGCATGGAGCAACCTTTGTATGCAAACAAATGCCATAGGTCAAAGAACATGCCTTTTGGAATCAATTTTCAGAGCCGTCTTCCACAAGGCTCCAAAACCCCTCTCTTGTGGGTTCCGCGCGGCTGCGCGTTGAAAGGCCTTCGTGCGGGAGATGGTGCGAGGGCGGAAACTCAGCACCCTGGCGCCTGCGCCGTTCGTGGCGGGTTCGGTGCGCCGTGGCGGGTTCGGGTGGAGGTTCATGTTTGGGACTGCGATATATTAGGCCGAGAAAAGGCCAGGGGTGGTTTGGGGTGGGTCAATGTATAGGCATATTTAGCATGATACATGGAGTGTTTGGGTGATTTGTATATGCGTTTGCCCTTCACACCTGCAGAGTTCACCCCAACTAAATGGTGCTGCAAGTGGTGCTGTCAGCTACGCTTCCATGTCAACAGTAGTCTGTCATCCTCCAGGCTTCTGCCCCGAGCCGGCTCTAATTTCTGACCACAACTGATCACTCCGAGTGTTCGAACGTGCGACCAGTGACTAGATGCTTTCGCATCAGCCAGGCCCCACCTGCGGTGTCCAGTCTCCGATCGTCCTTTAAACATGTTTATACAGCCTCAGATCAGTACAAAGAGGACTCGATCGATCGGTGTTTTGGAAAAACCGGAAAAACCGCCGACGCCCCCAGAATCGAGGAGCCACCCGATCCACCCGATCCACCCGAGCCGTGAAGTGGCCACCGAGCCGGCCGTCGCCACCGATCCACCCGAGGCGTCATCGCTCCAGACGGCTCCTTACGGAGCTGTAGCTGCTCCTTGGACAAGCGGCTCCTTGGCGAGCCGGACCGGTGAGGTGGTCAACGGCCTTGGGTTTGGAAGATGTGAAGGGTTCCTGGGTGAATCTTCATGGCGAATTAGGTCTTTCAGCACATCCGGGATGAATGTTGCAGGAGGTGAGGTGGGCGTTCGTCGGGCACCCCGCAGTCTTTCCCCGCCGGCGCTGGACGGCACCAACATGCAAGACACCCATCGAGCAAAACACCTATCGCACGGGCAAACAAATGGGGAGACAGGTGGGGGAACAAGTGAGGAGACAAGGCAGCAGCGGCAGACAAAACGCCGATCGCAGCAGACAAGCGGGGAGACACGAAAGAAAGAAAGAAAGAAGGGGATGTCTGCGTAAACATGATGAGGATTGATGAGGCAACTAGAGGATTTCATTCTGAGGGTCTTCCTTGCTGACATGGGTTCTGACACCTCGTTCACCCTCTCGTTCACCCTCGTTCCGATACCGCTTTGCAAGTTGTGTGACTTAAGTAATGTGTCCAGAGCCCGGTCCAAAGAGATGTCAAGGGACCACAAGGAGATTAACATCATTTAACGTCATTGCTAAATCATGGTGTTTCCATGCCCGAAGCTTGTTGTAAACACATGACAATTGTGGTAGGGAAGGAACTTCAGAACACATCAATAACATTGCCACATCATTGCGTTTCGATGCGGGAAGCTGGCTTTTGCAAGGACTATGCTGGGACCCCGCTCCTGGCGTCGCATTTCCATTGGGGACTGCAAGTTTTTTCCCTACTATGCCGTGACTTCCGCGGCTGAGTGTAGGTTCACGCCGCGACTGGAGAGGTCTTCCACAGATCTTCGTGCAGCATCTTCCTTGTTTGTACACCTTCCGGCTGATCGACAGAAAATTGTGGCAGGAGAACGGTTGAATTTCATAAGTCACGCTTCATATCTGGGATAAATGTTCAGAAAAAACATAAGCTTGGGGATAGGGCTTAAAATTATAGAGCCTTAAATTTTCCAAGAGGATATGACGACTGTGCGTCGCCAGCCTCGCGAAACCGACGCCAGCAGTTAGAACATTTTCGTCCCAAACTCCACAAGCAGAAATTGCTATGCTGTTTGGAAAAGAACTATAACTCCAAATCCGCGGGGCACCTAATGGATAAAATGTTATACATCTTTCAAGAAGACTTTTCACTCGGGAAGTGTGCGACGTCCCTGTCAGAACCGGTTATGTTTCTCTTTTGAAAATATGTTTTATCTCCAAAGCCGTGGGACACCTATAGTGGACAATTTCTTCAACAAATCTTAAAACTCGGAAAGTGTGTGACATCCTTGTCGAACATATTTATATATGTTTTTTTTGAAAACTATAACTCCAAAACCATGGGACACCCAATGGAAAACGTATAGTTGTTTTTTCACACATATTATATAACTTATCACATTTAGTTTGTTTTTGTATCTTTTTAGTTGGTGCCTGCGCATATTGATCACAAATAGTCATGTAGTTGTCTCAAGTAAATCTCTAGCATTTCCTTGGAAAAATGCATCAATACATGCCTTAGCGAATCATAAGTTATATTTGTTCATTTGCGCAGCTGCTCCGAACAATGCAACAGCGAGGCGTGTTATCCCAGATATGAAACGTTAATATACAACACCGATGTTTTGCAGCAAACTTTTGAACCAAACATGCGTCAGCCCCCAGCACTGCTTGCAGCTGGTCAAGTCTTTTACTTGGGTGTTGCTCTTTCCATAGCACTTTGCATCCAGCATTGGAAGCACAATTCTTTGGTCCACCAAAAAGCTACCCCCTACCTTCTACAGGTGATGTTGAATGCAGTGCGCATTGCTGAATTGTAAGGGCTTCGCCCGGGTGCCGCCGACCCCTTTTCAGGAGGAGTGTAGCATGTGTTGCTAAGCGTTGGTTGCAACGGCCATGGGCCCCTGAGAAAGCACTTGCTATTTACACTGCCCCCACAAAGGTGTTGAGAAATGAGATCGTCCAGGAGTGCCTGGAAGTCTTTCCAGAGGAGAGGCAGCGGATGGTTCTGCCTGATGACGACGGAGAGTGGGTGAGAAAGCGGCTCGAAGAGCTGTGTCCAGAGTTGGCCATGGCCATTGAAGACGTGCAGTGGACCACAGGCCTCCCGGAGGACATCTCCCTCATGGCTAAATTCCAGAACCTGCTCTTTGAGTTGTATGTTTTGAATTACCAGAAGCATGGCCCACACCTTTTTGAGCATGTGCAACTCGTTGGGATGACAGTGTCAGGCTGCCTGAAGATGTTCGGAGAGGGGTCGGGGTATTTCAAGAAGCTCCTGCAGGGAAGGAGGTGTTTGATCATCGGCGACGAGCTTGAAGACTGGAGCGAAGCGGAACTCATCTGTACTTGCTGCAATGCCTCGGCCTTTTTGGGTATAGGGGACCCGGGCCAAGTCTTGAAGCAGATCTTTTCGGATCAGTGCCCCGCCATTTTGGAGGACTACAAAGAAGAGCTGCGGAGCAAAGAGAAGATCATCGGTGCTTTCGAGTATTTGCCTCAGGAGGTCATCACTGTCACAGTGCTCAACGAGACAAGGCGGATGGGCCGGCTGGCAGTGCAAGGAGCCGAAGCAGCAGCGCCTTCAGGGCTGGTGGCGCATCCATCGTCTCCGGAGACTTCCTGCGCCGTGCTGCGTTTTCCGGAGCATCACTTTACTCGGTTTGTGACTCGTCTCAGCAAAACGCGTTAATGCCAAGTACAGTTTAATGGGTGGGTGGTTGAATAGATGGACGTGTTTTCTCCACAGTATATCTGAAGCGATCGTGCTTGCGGTCGCATCTTTGTTCATCTGTTTCGGATGTTTTTTCGGACACCACCGCTAGGGGTAGGAAGTGCTACTTTTAGGGTTTCGGTTTATGTGTTGTTTTTTTGCAGGAGCCACCACTCGGGCTTGGTTTTGAAATCGCTGAAAAAAGACACCCTTTCGCATAGTCCAACAGGGGTAGTTGAAGACAACACATCGAGATTAACCACCAAGAACAAGAACAAGAACAACAACAACGAGAAGAGCAACACCGGCAGCAGCAACAACAACAACAACAAGAACCAGAATGAGAACAACAACAACAACAACAACACCAGCAGCAGCAGCAACAACAACAACAACGATCACACAATTTGACAGCAACAACAGCGACAGTAATGACAACAACGACAGCAACAACAGGGACAGCAGCAACAAGAACACACAAGAAACACAACGACGGCAATGATGTCTTTTACTTGGGTTTTGCTCTTTCCATAGCACTTTGCATCCAGCATTGGAAACACAATTCTTTGGTCCACCAACCAGCTACCCCCTACCTTCTACAGGTGATGTTGAATGCAGTGCGCATTGCTGAATACGTATGAACTGTGTCCAAAAGCGCACCTTATTGATGACATTTCGTAAGGAGAATTGACTGGAGCGGTGGGTGATCCGAGCCTCGGTCGGCACCTTGAGGTTGAAGCACTTCGTCATCGAACTGAAAGGCCTGGTGGGGACCTCGGGTGGGCCGACCTCGGGGGGGTCGAACACATCATCTGGACCTGTTCGGCAAAGGGACCACGGGGAGTTGATCCAGAACGCAGACCACGGGGTCATTCACCAGTGACTGATACACCACTGATACACCATGCTTTCCGAGAAGACCATGAACAGACTTCGGTTTGACCGACCGTGTAGTCTCAGACTTATGTCTGATCATGGTATAATGGTTGTTCGGCAGTTGCTCGGTCAAACCCATTACATCAATGGCGGGCCAAGAATCCTATATACAGGTTGTCAGTTGTGCGTTTTTGACCTGGCGCATATAGTTGATCGGGTGAAACCCTCCCCTTGGAAGCCTCAATCTAGGGAATTGTTGGAGAATATCTTAAATTTTTTTGAGCATTTCCAGGTTCCTTTAGCAAAGCCAAATGCAAGTGCATGACAGCGCAAACAACCCATCAAATAGGATGGTTATCCAAAAACAACACCACAACCAAACTCAGGTGTGGATGAACGCGATTATCAAAACTGAGCCAATTTGCGCCAGGGAGTTTCTCTGTCCAATTCCCAGTTTGGGGCCGAAGATCGGGCTCTCGAAGCTCAAGACTAGTCATTTGTCCGTTTGCCCTATACTGTTGGAGTGATACATCCTGCATGCGTTGCTGGGATCGGGCAAAACCCACGTGAATTCGCCGTTCTTTCAGTGTTTGATCCCTCTTCCAATGTGTTTGAACATGTTTGCCCAAAGAATCCGCATGAATCCGCTCCCAAACCAATGAAAATAAAACATTGGCTGGGTAAAGAGAGGCATCATGGACCTCACATACCTAGAGCCTGAGGGATCTGTATTTTGGACCACCAGGCCTATATTAAGATATGGCCTTGTCCAAGACAGGTTGAACAGCCCTTTGTCGCCCATCCCATATGTACCACAGACCAGGGTCCTAGTTCTGGTCTCTCAACCTCTCTTGGGTCATGTGCGTGTGTAGTTTAGACCGCCTATTTCCCTTCTTCCAGAAAGTCAATCTGGGAGGTCGCTCTGTTTGAGCTGGTGCCGCTCAAAACACTTCTCCACCTCCACATCCACTTATTAGGTGGGACTCCCGGTCACCCCACCCCGACATGTACCAGCAGAGGTTGAAGAACCCGAACTAGGCTATCCGAGAGGTACCCCAGGTGACGGGTCGGCCACTTAACCTCTGTTGGTAACTACCGCGCGTGCTCTCTTCGGTCGGTCACCCCGGGTCCGCGCGGATCCCCGCAGGCTCGGTGCGGCGGATTCCATTGGCAGAGCTCACCGAGGCAGCTGGGAGAGCACGGTGACCTCGGGAGGACATGCCAAGGAATCAGAGGACGGACAGAGGACGGGCAGAGGACGGCATCATCCTGCCACGGTGGCCACGAACTTTTGACACGATGATGTCTTATGTCAATACAAGGAGGGAGAAAACAATGTAAGTATCCCAGTGTAAGCATGCAAGTGTACTGTAAGTATGCAAGTGTGAGTATGAAAACTTTCACGGGAGATATCCTAATGAAAAACATTCCCCCACTTTCTAAATTCTCTTTAAAGGCGGAGGGTGGGACGAACAGCGTCAACCAAAAATGCAACCCTCTGCGGAGATCGTGCGTGTCGAGTGCGCAAAATGCAGGCGAGAGTGCGATTTGTCCGGTGCGCGCGACCCTCTGCGGAGATCGTGCGTGTAAAGAGGTCAAGAACTTGCAGAACAAAGGTGTTCCTGCGCGTCAGAGAGACATACAGAGAGAGACACATACACACACAGAGACCCACACACTGCCTCAACACACTAGACTTAAGACTTCACACTGAACACTTAACACACAACTCACACTCTAACTTCACACGTGGTGAAAAATGCTTTCGGGCCACTCGTCGTCTAGTTTTTTTCCGGGACCCCTGTACCCCTGCTCTTCGGTGGGTCCGACCCCTTGCAGGCTGGAACGGCGCACGGATTCAGCCCCAAAAACTCCCAAAGGTGTAAGACGGGCCCTCACGCATGAACAGGGCCCTCGATTGTTTTTCAAACAATTTTTTCAAGTCGAGAACTTGTTGCTCAGTGGAAGCAGTCGAGGTCAAGGACTACTATTAGGACCTTTGGGGGATGTCTTCCTGGACAGCAGGGGGACAGCAGGGGGCTGAGATGGGCTGAGTTACATGGCAAACTGAAGGTATCTCACCCAGATGCGGAGACGAAGTATCTGGACGCTTCAACGGATTGACTGTAGCCTGAGCACTGGACGATGAGTGCATGGCGATCTGGATCACCATTCCATTGGGATTTGCATTCCTATCAGGCTTCTTGGGCTGTCTTGGGGCTGTGTTGGTAGCTTCTTGAGTTGTTGATGAGTTGGTGAGTTTCGCAGAGCAGATGAGTCTCAAACGAGCAGCCTCAGATGCGTGCTGTGGATGGGTGACGGGTTGGAAGACCGCGGGAGAGAAGCGAGATTGATCGATCCTCCCTGTAGACCAGTGATGAACAGTGAACTTCAGCGAACGCCTAAAGGTTTGAATCAGGCAGCCAGGCCTTCATTTACCACGGACACGGAGGGCATCTTATTGACTCTGAATTGGTGGGCATCGATGCATCTTGCGAAAGCATCGTTGCCTTGCTATTACACAGAAGATTAAAATAGAACCTGAAAATGAACCTTTGGACGACTAGCTTTCTCCACAAATCAGTGGTTTTCAGTTTCCATGTTAATTCCAGGGCCTCATTGTTTATTTGACGTTTGGTCATCAATGGCTGGCATTCTGTAGACCACAATCCGGCTACCGCTAATAGCCCTGGCTGTGTTGATTCCACTTCCAAACACGTGATTTGTACCAGCACCCTCACTGCCAGGTCACCGCCTGCGACTTTCAAGTCCCCCAAAAGCCACCATGACTCGGAGACCTGTAGAGTCGTCGGGTCCTGGTATGTGTTTATAAAACATGTTTAAACATAGGTAGACAAACAACGTCCATAGGTAGACCACAGCCTACTGTCGCTTTCGGTCCCTATCTTTAGAACCGTTTTCAAACCTTTGGTGTCCGCCTAAGATAGGGAGACAGAGCACGCCCGCCACCCTGAGCCGTTCGGTGTTAAAGGATGTCAGACCGCCGGCGTCGCGCGGGCGAAACGGGCTTCGTCGCAGAAAGGAGGGTTTTGTCGTCGTGGACAGTTGCACCAAGAGTCAAGTCAACCCGTGCGCCTTCACTTCGACCATTAAACACATGGCTGACCTGGTGATGTAATGTCCAAACCCTTGGTAAAACAAAGGTTCTTTGGGATTCAGACCATTAAAAACCATGGTTGTTTCATGTTGTTTCAAATCCTATAGGGTCCTGCACAGAGCGGCGCAGACACGGGTGGCCAGCTGGCTGAGGGCGTCCCCTGTCTTGTTCCAACGGGAAAGACCCACCCTTTTTTTTCCCACAACTGGACGGTAGGGTCGAAAAACCGGACGACCGGAGATTGGACATTCTCCATCCCCCCTGGGGGGGCATCACAAATTGGAACTCGATGTGATTTTTTTCTGCAAGACCATGGACGACGATGTCCGCTCCCTTCTGGACATTCAAAGCTCTATTGCCAGGCCGGTAGACCACTACGCCACCTTAGCTTCGGTCTGGACGCGACCGGCGCCGAAGCACCTGAGGGGGGCGTGGGCGATGGTCGACCGCATGTTCCAACTCTGGGCGCCAGGTCTATCAAGGCAACGAGCCTGAAGACATCGTCCGAGCCTTGGAGGGTGCCGAGGTCTTTCGGGCGCCCCTCGGGCTACGCTTCCAAGACCAAAGACTCAGTAACCACCTGGTCCTTTACCACCTCCTTGACTAGTGCTTTTGTATGTCCAATGTGGTCAAACTGACCTGTAGGGCTAGGCTTCCGAGAGAGAGTTTGGTCGACCTGGTGGTTGTGGTGTCAAATCCTCACTGGTTGTTGGGGATTCAGCCTATGACACCCTGCAAGACGATCATGGACCCTCAAAACCACTGGTTGGTAGAGGAAAATAGCTTTCCATGGGGCCATTGTCAGCTCTATGTTAGTTTTCGGGAGTGTAAATGGTGGGCCAAGAGCTTCCGGTCTATGTAGGTGCTTAAGCAAGGTCTTAGACTTCCGACCGGAAAGCTTCAAAGCAGACTGACGTTCCACTCAACGAGTCGGACGAGAACTCCAGGTGGTGCTGTATTTCAATAATACCCAGATGCTCCATGGGACAGCCATATCTGCCGATCAGTTGGGGTGGTTTGGGGGGTCAATGTAAGCATATATTCCAGTCCCATGGAGTGTATGGGATAGGGATACCACCTTTCTCGCCCCTGGCTGGGTAGACTGGTCTATGAACCGAACCCAGGGGTTCGACCTGGCTGGTCTCCCTATGCGAGCTACCCACCCATACGGTCGTTGGTATACCAAAGGCTGTTTCCTTCTAGGGAATCGTTTTTGGTGGACCCAGTACATACTATTGCTATACTTGTTTTTGTCAGGGATTGAGGTGTGTCCTCGTACATCCAGCATCAAACAGGAATACTTGCATTTAAATTAATCAGTTGAGATCTAACATCTTTGGTAGATCGCAAGCATCTCATTCTTCAACTTAATTTCGAGTAAGTTTTGCTAGATCCTTTTCCTCAAGAACGGCAACATCGTAAACCAGCCGAGAGGCATGTGCGCTCGGAAATCATTCTTCCAGTCTCTTCCATTTTCTGGCGGTGTTGAAACGCTTTTGCCAGCGGTGAATCTGAGACCATCGAATTCTCATGGCACCAGACCGAGACCTTGGATGGTTTTTTCAAAACGTCAAACCTACAAGGTCCGATCAAACTCACTCGTTGACATGGTTTCTGGTGAGACCGAAAAAGACCTGGGTGCGTGCGGGTTGGTACGTGTCGATGGCGGGGGGAGCAGTCACTGCTTGCCGTGTCGATGGCGAGAAGACGACACCATCCCCTTCAGGAGACGCCGCTGGACGAACTTTGCGCGACCCTCATGCTGGAGTCGCTTGGTGTGACGACGCGTGTTACGCGTCAATGGCTCGGGTCAATTCCGGAGAAAACGAGGACCCCCCAAATGCCGGGATGGCGCCGTACGACATCTCTGGTGGTTTTGGGATGCTGTTCGGCTCAAGAATGGCCATCCTCGGTCTCGCACCGCGTGAGCTTGGGACTGCAGGGGTCCTCGTAAAAGATGTAAAAGTGGAGTTCTGGGCCGAGAGGATCCGAGATTGGAAGTTGCAGGATCAAAGCAGTGTCTGTTTTCCCCGTTCTTATTAGAGCCCTTAGGCCCTGACAACTTCTCTTCCACCTTCAGACATAGTTGTCACATGTTGTCACAACTTCGGTCAGTCTGGTGCTTATCAGGATATCACTTCGTTAGGACTCCATATGAGTTCCGAGTCTTAAGACTTTCCTAGCCAGACACTCCATCCAAATAGAGCATGCGTGCCCTCACTTAGAGTGCTCGCTTCACGGCGGTGACCGATTGGTCGGACCGCCCGCTCCAACGCTCCTCTGGTCCAGTCGGCAGCAGGGGAGGTTCGAGCCACGAAAAAAAGGGGGCCCGGCCCAAAGAGAGTGAACAACACAGAGAGCAGGAAGACTCCCCGAAGATTTTTGATATATATTCAGAGCACTTTCAGCGAGCTGATAGGGTTGATTGACCCTGATTAGGGACTATAGAGGTTGTAGCAAGCCCAATACACTTAAACCACTAGTTTACAAGCATTCAATGACCTGAGAAGTGGTTTGAAAGGATATCAAACTGTACCAGGACCCGAAACCAGCCAGGTATTCACCTGCGACTTTGAAGTTTGCATGTCAGCCTCCACTTCAGAGAGCTGGTTTGTGTTTCTTCAGGCGCTTATGCAAGCAGGCGGGCGCCTCCACCAGTTGGTGCTTGCATGGACCGATGATCTATCCACCTTGGGCGGATTCACCCACCTGACCCACCTGACCGGGCTCTCACGTGGGGGACCGATGCGCTGGGCCTGCACCAGGTCCTGTGAGTGCATCTCCTTCTCCTTCGAGGACCTCCCGTTGGGGCGGCCCTGGTGGGAGCTGCACGCGTAGCAGGTTGATGACGGCCAGGGACCATGGTCATATAGATCCCTGAGAACGGTGACAACCTCAGGGATCATGGTCAATGATCTATACCCATATATATAATATATAATAATAACAACCTAATCAACCTAAAGTATGCAAATTTCAGTAACAGAAAAATGTTTTTAGAACTAACCTTTTGTTCGATCTTTCTTGTATGTGTTTGTATAACCATCATATATATATATATATGCACCTTTTCGATCCTTTTTGGATTACCTTTTACATACTTATCGCTGTTTGCTGGAGCAATCGTGGGATCATCCTGCCTGAGACCTCCAGCCTGGAGTTGTGGCACATGAACAGGGCGAGCACTCACTTGTGCACTTGAAAAAAATACTCGCTCGTACACTTGAACATTTTCTCGCTTGTACACTTATGGCTTGAAGACTGAGGACGGTTCAGGATTCAGAAAGCATCCAAGAACAGGGCAGGGTGGTCAAATCGAAACAAGCCACAAAGAACAGGAAAGTAGCCGCAAGCAAGAAGACTTTCAAGCTTTTCCTTCGATGAAGCGGCCATGTGTGAAGGAGCCGGCTTTGAAGAATCCGGCTGGTGCAACTGCGTGGGCATGTCGGGTGACTGCGCCTGCTGAAGGCCCTACCCCCCACCCCAATGCAAATGATTGTTTGGCAGTGGGTAGGGGGCCAAGCCCTGACAAACAACATTTGCATCATGGAGGGTGGGGGGTGGGGCCTTCAGCACCATACACTCAAGCACTAGCAAACAAAGATTATCTTACGTACACTCTCCTGCCTCCTGGGGGGTGTGGGGCCTTCAGCACTCAGCAAGGCAGGTCAAGCACTAACACATTGCCCTGCCATGAAAAGTTTGATCATCAAACGGGTTTGCCCCTGAGCTGTGTGTTTGACTGGCCTGGTGCGTTTTGGAGAGTGTGTTCATCTTGCATCATGGCATCCTGGGACATAGTGGATGTCAGTGGGTGTAACAATGCACCATTGGCACCGAACAAGGACATGATCCAGGTGACATGGTTGGCCGGCGAATAACGCTGACGCCCCGACTTCTCTCCACCTACATCGAGGATCATTCCTGACACATACCTACAGGTACAGTTGCGCAGGCATGCTTGCAGATTCAGACTCTACAAGCTTGGCACCAAAGTCGACTTGAGCGGAGGCACTTGACCGTAAAACGCGAGGGACTATTTCCCTTAAGTCCTCCTGTGTTTGATGAGCAAGCATTTCTGCCGGCAATGCGTGGCTTCCAGCATCTATCTCACGCGAGAAAGCAAGCACCGCACTGCTTCATATTTCCATTACTTGAGTTTGGCCCTGGGTTCTCTGAGTTGTGTCTGACTGACAGTGCAACTAAACAACAAAGCACTTTTGCTTGTGGTCTCCATGCGGTGAATGTCTTCTTGGCCATTGAGTCAGGCACCTGCAGACATGACTGCTTTCTTTCCTGGTTGTTTGCGTCGCTTCAAAAATGAACCATTAAGCTCAAGTGACCCCTTCTGGGAACACACGCAACTCCGACAAATCATTGCACAAACCGCCCACTAGCCGCATCGCAGGCGGAGAAAAGGGAGTGACTAATCTTCGTTCAAGAAGTGATCATAGGTGTGACTGAAGGGACGCGACAGGCCGGGTGCCTCAAATCAAGTTTGTCTTGCTGACACGCAGTGCCAGTGGTCAACGCGGCCGACAACAAATTCGCAGTCCACTGCTGTTACGCAGAAGATACGAAAGCACTGAAAGGAATGCTGAAGGCTGGGCGCCTCAAATCTAATTTTTCTTCCCGACACGCAGTGGGGGCACAGGAGATGGAAGCACTGCGCCCAACAAGGCCCAATGCAAGAACCTCTTACAACCACTCTGGGCATAGAAGATGGCTGCGAAAACCATGGGCAAGCCACCCAAGGTAGTCCTCCTTCCGCAGTTGCAGGAGCTAAACATTGCTGACTTTGGCCCACGTTCCCATGCTTCCCACCACTTTGAAAGGAGGGAAAATCTCGAATTGTCCAAAGTTTGCTTGAAGCCAACAGAAGCCAACAAAGAAGTACTGGGAGATTCAGCCGTGTCAGTAGACAGGTGGCAAGCAGGCAGGCGATCTTAGGTCCTAAGGGGGTATCCCTGCAACTTCGCCTGAGCCGACCCAAGCAGCTTATGTAGGCGAAAAACAACCTAGGTGTAAGAAGAGGCTGAGCTTTGGACTGGAAACAGCGTTGCATACCCTTTGCTGGATTGATCGCGAGAATTACTTTACAAAACAATGACTTTTCTTCACTGAGGTGACTTTTTGTTGCCGGAAGAACATGATTGCATATTTTGCGTACTCGGTTTTTTTATTAGATTCCAGATAGATAAACCATCCAATGGGTGTCGAATGGACTACCCAACGCTACTTACGGATCTCCAGTGGACACCCAGACAGGATGGTCCAGCTATAAACAAAATGATATTGTATTTCCTTAAAAATAGTGATGCTGACCTGTGGGACTCTGGGACCCTGAGAGGAACCCACTATCCCGTGGAAAGTATTTTGTTGTGGTTGTGGTTTTTTGGGCTTTATACTCTCGATTGCAGATGCTGATGCCGGTGTGAAATTGCAGATCACAGGGGCAAATTATGTCATAAAACAGCAACGCTAGACTAACTAGGCTTTAGAGGATTCTCAATTTTCAGGCTGCTTCAGAAGTAAGAATGGATTGTTCGTCACTGATTCGTCACCACTGGATCCTTTTGACCCCAATGTTTCCGGCCCGCGTTTCCTCGCGTTTCCCCGCGCTTTCAACCATGCCCGGAAACCACACACAGACATTGACCTTGCGGCCCTCTCAAAGTGCTCTCGCTAAAGCGCTAGCTCTCGCAAAAACAATGCGCTCTGGCTGGTTTGTTCCCCCGTTGAGGTCACGCGAGCGCTTCGCCATGTGCTTGCAAGTCCTTGTGGACGGCCAGCAATGACTCGGACGCCCAGTCACCCCCTATGGTTGGCCGAGAAAACGCAAGGGGTGGTTGCAAAAGGGGTGAATGTAGGCATAATATGCCAGTCGTTTGGAAACCGTCCGGGGATCGGTGCGAGACCTCGAACAGTACGAAGACCGAAGTGACGCCGTTCTCTTCTGCCCAATAGTGGATGTTACATTCCAGGAACAAAATCCTGTGTTTTTGCATACAAGATGCCAAAAACCCAGTTGTGCGGTGGATGACGGTCTTCAGGAAGAAAAAACCACATATACGGTCGCCTTTGAAGCCTATGTTCACCCCTAGCCGTCGGAGAACTGGATGCCAACCCCGGGCGCATTTAGACAACCGGCTTTAGTCCGTTGTCTCAGGGACCGGGAAAGGAAGTCTTTTTCGTTGGAGCGCACGGGCCTTCCCGTTGCGAAGCAACGGTGGGTGGCCCCGGCATGCGCTCCGGCCAGCGCGCTCAGTGCCAGACCACGAAGAGAACCGGAACTATTAGGAGCCCTCGGTTCTAGGGGTTGGGTGTTTTGCCTGAATCCACTGGGGTGGGTTTTTGGGAGGCACAGCAGAGGTCCAAGTAGTCCAAGAATGTGTCGCACTCAAATCAAGTGGCAGTTGGATGATCCTATCTGTAGATACACCTTATCCTTCAAATTTGAGCAAGAATGACCTAGAACCATGAGATTGATGGTTGGTGAGGTTTGGTTCTTTGGTGGCCGGAAAGACATGTTTTCCACCAACCACCCCCATACAGGGCCTGTCTGTCTGGGACTGGTATACCTAGATCCTCCAACTGCCAAACTTCTTCCGAACTCTGGGTCCATGGCATCCTTAAACCCTGGATCGGAGCGGGTCCTCCATGTCAAGCAGATGGGGGTACTTTGCATAGTTCCCTCCCGTTGTTTCTACCCAGGAACAGTTGATCATCGTTCATCATAATCCTTTGTGGAGATTCCCTAGGGATCCAGTCGTACCTTCTCAGGTACGGTGATGTGTTCGACTATGCTATGACTGGAGACCCCACTCAAATCCAATTGGGGTGGACCGTGTGACGAAGCTGCATTTTCCAGGCAAACCAGCTCGACAATCAGCCTTTCATAGAATCCAGGGACTATTTGCCGATCAGTTGGGGTGATTTAAGAGGCTGTAAGGGTCGATGGTCAAATAGTTCATAGACCTTATAATTAGAGGCTCTCGGAATGTTTTTTGGATCTTTTTCACTCACTGTTTGCTTTCACTGTCATCTTCGCAACGCTTGGACGACGGACCTCTGACTAGTCAGTCCGAGTGGCGGATTCAGTGCGCCGACTAGTGCGGGATCCCGGGAAGAAACGGGGGGTGTCAAACAGGTGTGGAGATCGCCTGTAGGTGTCGAGAGAAGATTTGGGGACCAGATCTATTCCCCAGAAGAATGGGACTTTGGGACTGGAATTGTTACGGTCATGCGCAGCAGTAAGGGGTACATGTGTATGTAACTATATTCCCATATATTCCCTACATGGAGTGCCTGGGTATAGCAGCACCATGCAGCACCCGAATCGACAGGGTCTCCGACATGGTGGCTGAAATGGAGACTTCAACATTTTACAGGTGGCTGGTGGTGACCTTGCAGTGAGGGTGCTGGAAGCTATTATGTATCATGTAGACGGTTGATAAATAAAATTCCCTACCATTTCTTTTTTCCATCTCCATCCGTTTTGTTTCATCGGCACTGGCCATGATCCATCGGTTTTCGCACTCAAAGTCCCAAACCATCTCTCAAGATGAAGAAACTATATAGCTTCTGGTCCGGGCACCTTCAGGGGCTTTGGGTTTGTGTAAGATCGATGGTGCTGACGTACCTGGAACATGTCCTGTGTGATGGTTTGGCGCTGCAGATTCGCTTCGCATAGTTCGTGGCTCGGGAGAATCCCCGACGACCTACCACGCCGCTTGGGTAGGCGGATCATGCGCGGCAAAAGCAAGGCGTGCAATACAAGCCTGTGGAGCGGAGGATTTTTGGGACACTGCCGATATCGTGCCTTTGGCTGAAGCTGCGGCCTCATCACTAGCTGATCCTTCACTGCCGGGAGAAACGGCTCGAGGGGTATCCACCTTTTCTATGAATCAGTGAGCTGTTCGGAGCTACAGGGAGTTCCCCCAACCCGTCAAGATGAACCAACGGCAGTTCTGGTCAACAAGGGCAGATCGAATACTGTGCCACGAGAGCTTGGATCTTCCAGGTTTAGAGTTCGGCATCCGGGACAGAACGATACGTACGTCTATATATAACCATGCAAAGCTCTGGAACTGAAGAGGTCGTCCTTCCAAAGAGGTCGTCATTAGTTCACACTGGAAAGGTGTGCTCATGCATCAGAGAGGTGTGCTCATTTGATGTGTGTTTTCATGTGTTGGATGTAGGACGTAGGAGTGACTTGCATCAGTATTGTTGGAGATTTATACTTATCTGCAGGTACGCATCATATGGGACAGGGAACAACCACAGTTATTTTTGCAATGCTCACCTTTCGGTTGGGAAAATGGACTGAACCTGTCGAACAACCATGACAGTCTCTTATAAGCTATGACTGTTTTACAGTCTGTTGTATGACTGTTTGCTCTCATAAACTCTTTTCTTCCAACCCGCCAGACTGAAGAGGCTTTACAATATCCGTTTTGTTCGTCAAGAGTCTTTCGAGTCTACAATTCGAAACACAACAAACTCGGAGCTTAGGGAACGTCTGCATTTGGCCTCAGCACTGCACACCTTGCCACGCAGCGATCGCACGGGGGGATTCACCGGGCCCAAGAGCGGTTCGTTGCCGAACAAAGCGCGCAGGGATTCGGAGAGATGCGGGGGGTCCGCGAGGATTCGGGTGTGGCAGGTGAGTTCAGAAGGCGGAAGGCGATCTTGTTGCGGCCATCTGAGACTTGAGTCTTCATGAGTCCTTTTTCACTTCGCAGTTATAGCACTGTCCCGGTACAACTAGTTCACCTGCAACACCTGCAACTTGGAGATTGGAGGAGGCAGCTGGACTGTTTGACCACTGCAACACCTGTTTGGGATCGCCTTTTGAGTGTCCACCTCCCCAACAGCTGGACGGTTCAGCTCAGCCTCGCCGCGCAGCCCACCAGCCCCCGGTAGAGTCGGGTAGAGGAAGAAGTCTGCAGCTGTCAACCTGTCCCAAGAACTCTCCACAAGTCCAGTCGGACCTGCCCAGGTTTCTGGTCAAATAGATATAATTCTCGGAAGATTGGCTGGTTCACCACCTCCCAGATGCCACTCATGGGACTGCCAGTCCGGACTGCCCATAGGACTGCCCAGGGGTGTGTGCCTAACGGGGGGTCTGTCTGGGGCAGCATCGGCAGTCCAGTGGTGTTTGGGACCTGGTTCTTCTGACTTCCGTCCGAGTCGCCTCCCTTTTTCTGAGGCCTTTCTTGGCCACTGAGCCGTTTTCGGATTCGTCGGTCGCTTGGAAGGAGGTCGAGGTCTGAGTCTGAAGCAGGTCCATTGGATGGTTGTAACCCCCCACATGGTTCAAATAACCCAGTAGAACCATGTAACACCTGGTGCTTTACTAGCTCCTTGAGCCGTGTGAGCTTGCTCATACCGACTACATACGCCCTTTCGGTCCGGTCCTTTGAGAACTCCGGTTGGAACCTTGATTCGGACCAAAAGGTGAGAAGCTCCGCATGGGTTTGTTTGAACTCTGAATGTCAATGGGTTTTGGGGAAAGATGCAGAACACCCTTCACTGTAGACGTTTGATCGAACCAACACCCCCAGAACTTTTTGAGGTTCGACAATCCATGTTTGAAAGAGGATTCACAAGCAATGGTTTTTAGAATCCAGACAATCACTGAAGTGGAGGGCAGGCCTGTTGGATGACGATTTTAATCTATTTCCACATATACCAAGCAGGCGGTGGCATCCACTTCCATGTTAGTGACGATAATTTTGCAGCTTCCTTCGACTTGGAACTGGTGCGCGTGAGTTCCTGCTACATGAGCACGCTTTTGGCTTCAGGCTTCAAATGCAGCGGAAACTATTTGGTCCCTAGGGATCCACATACCCTTTGAGGTACGGTGATTGGAGACACTGTTATCTAGTTTTGGAGGGTCCAGTTGTACCTTCTGAGAAGGTATGACTGGCTCTCTAGGTGTGTATAGACAAGCCACTACACTTTTGGGAGACCCATTTGATGGATGTTTGGATTCTCCAAGACCCCGAATTAATCGACCAATCCACTGCAGAGAAGCAGATCATGGAAATTATTGGGTTTTCTTTTGAGTACTTGTTACGCACAGTTCATCTCAGTTCATTTGTAAGTCTTTTGCACAGTAGCAGAGATCGAGTTTCCCAAAAAACAACAAAAACACACAAGAGGGTGGGGGGAAGCCCTAGGCGACCTTTTCATTTGGCGACGGGTGGTTTTAGGATGTCTTAGGAACATCTTGGTCCCAGTCTGGTCTCGGGTGTGGGTCTAGCCTCACCAGCTGAAAAGCAGCTTAAGGTCCAAACAGCTGAAAAAGCAGCTTAAGATCCAGCTGAACAACCAGCTGAAAAACCGTCACCAAAAGTGTTGACCCTCTTTCGATTCCAAACGCCACGCCCGGTTGGATCGTGTGGCTCCGGTCCTCGTGTCATGGAAGCTGTCGCTTCTGAGACGTGGCAGCAGTTGAAGTTGCTTTTCGGATTGGTTGAGTCATGAGGGATACTCACACCCTAGGTCTCCAAGTACCGATGAGGTACTTGGAGGTGTAGGGGCAGTACAATTCTCTGGAGCGCTAGAAAGGGATCCATCTTGGCGTTTAAGATCTATATGGTCTATGTAGGGCTTCGGAGATTTCGGAGTTATTGGAGAAAAAGCTTTGGTTGTGGCCTTAGGGCTGGCGTGAAGCCAGGGCAGAGAACTGGAATCCAACCACCTATCACGGAAGCATTAAACATCGGTGCTGGCACGCCTGGGTATTTGGCGCGGGTGCCCCATGATGCAGAGCAAAGGCATGCGCAAGCAAGAGGGGACTTCACACATAGAACAGGATGGTCACAACGGGGGAATCTGGCTATTGTTTTAAGTTAGCAGGTGGGACGAAGAAAAGCCCATGGAAGGTGCGGGGATGGCGACACAGA